GGGCTGGATCTGTTCTTTCTTTCCCCAGGGCCAGGTGAGCTGAGCCATGGCTATGGCAGAAACCAGACAAAAGTCATCACATCTGGTTTCAGTGACCTTGAGGCAGAGTCCTGGGCTGGGCAGAGAAGTGCAAGAGGAGCTATAAAGCCTGTTAGACCTGGGGCAATCACTGACCTTCCACAGCCTTCCTTCTACTCCCGTGCTCTGACCAGACCCACAAGGTCCCTCTGACCCCACCAGAGATGAGCTCCTCTTGCTAGGACAGGGCTGTCCTGCCCCCCAGGAGCCAGGGATGTGTCCTCAGGTCCCCTACCTTTGGCTCTGCTCTGTGTCCTTGCTGGGGAGCAGTGGCGGCAAAGATGGGAGTGTCTCAGGTTTCCTGAGGAGGGCAAAAGCCACAGGTGGGTAACAGGGGACAAACAACCCACACCTGCTCGGGGCAGGACCCCAAAACCCACAGCCTTGTACCTCACAGATTCCCGTGCTGGCAGCCCTTGGGGACAAGGTCTCACCCTCCCTCCTGATGGGCTGAGGAGGGGGCTCAGCAGAGTCAGACCCTCCCAAGCAGACACTCTCACCCCTGTGCCTGGCACAGCGGGTCACCCCTTGCACCCATTGCCCCCATCCCACTGACGCAGTCCCCCCGAAGCAGAGCTGATACTCACGGGCCAGGAACCTGCATTTTGACCGTGCGGTCACAGGACAGGCACGTGAAAGGGACTGGCAGCTGCCTAAGGAGGGGAGAGACAAGGGCTGGGTGAGCTCCTGGGGGGCCACAGCTTCATCAGCATCGCACCTGTTCGTTAGGCGGCTAAATTGGTGCAGTGCCAGGGTAGCACATGGGCAGTGTCTGGGACAGCTGGACGGAACAGGACCATGGCTGTCCCCAAAGCCATTGCCATCCCCATCCCACTCACTTCCTCAACCCAGCAGCGCTGTCACTCTCTGCTGTCTTCTTCTCAAGCTCCTTGATGCCCTTCTGCCAGGTCTCCTCCATCTGCTTATGGAAATCCTTCAGCTCCTGGCGATCCAGCTGTGGACAGGTGCACACCCTCAGCCAACTGCCCCGGCATGGGATACGGCTGTCTCCATGGAAAATCCATGGGGGACCCTCAGAGAGATGCTGCCTGAGGCTGTAAGCCCCAAAGGTGCCAGATTTTCATGGCAGGGACGAGGCACTGCTCACCTTGTTTCCTATCATGTCACTGAGCTTCTGCTGAATCTGATTGCAGTGCTGATTGTGTCCCGACATCTGGGCTTGCATCTCCTGCATCTTTTGATCCAGTCGCTCCATGCTTGCCTCAAACTGGGTGGAACTGACTTTGCTGCCCAAGGCAGTTTTCTAGCAGAGGAGAAAGGCAGCAGTGAAGAGAGGAAAGGGTTGAGGAATGACAGGCAGGGCCAGGGTGTGTCAGGGGCAGAGGGAGAAACACTCCCTCCAATGCATTGTGCCCCTTTCAGAGGCCACAGGGTGGCCCCATTCAGCCATCACCCTGGGGTCCATCCCAGCACACTGTACCATGTCCTCTGCCATGAACATGTTCTGCTCATCTGCTTTGCCCTTCTTCAGTGTCTCCAAGGACTGGAACAGCATCTTTCAACACAGAAAGCAGCCCATGAATCCACAGCAGGGGTGGAGCTGCCTCCTGGTCAGCTGAGCATTCCCTGCCCCCCCTACCCAAAGTCCTCTGGGAAAGGGATTTGGAACGTGCTCAGGGCTGTGAACAGGTTGGCAAGATGGATAGATTCTTTGTGGTGCCCTGCCTGGAGTCTGCCTGGGGGATGCTCTGAGCCCACAGGACTTTCAGTCACACACCTCAATATCTTTCTGCTTTTGCTCACAGTCCTTCTGGAGGCTCACTGAGACCAAGCTGAGCTCCTCACAGTCCCCCTGAATCTTCTTGACCCTGTTCTCCATGTGCTGCAGCAGCTGCTGGTC